AGAGCATAAGCTTTCGTGGGCTACAACCCACTTCTTCGGATGCATATCTATATATATCTATATAGAGTGGTTTTCACTCTATATGCATCCGAAGAAGTGGGTTGTAGCCCACGAAAGCTTATGCTCTAATAAATTTGTTAGTCTCTAAGGTGCCACAAGTACTCCTGTTCTTTTTGCGGATACAGACTAACACGGCTGCTACTCTGAAACCATCAGCTGAGGCAGTACTGCCAGGAATTGCAAAAAACAGGGTTTTATCCATATCCCTCTAATATTAGCTGGTCTTTTGCCAATCAGTTAGATGCATGTATGGGTTATAGCACATCTGTGAGCCTCTAGGAAGATCCCAGGTTAGCTCTTGGAAGTCCAAAGACTAAGGGTACGTCTATACTTTGCTTACCTCCGGGTCCGGCGGTAAGCAATCAATCTTCTGGGATCAATTTATCGCGTCTTGTCTAGACGCGATAAATCGATCCCGGAAGTGCTTGCCGTCGACGCCGGTACTCCTGCTCCGCGAGAGGAGTATGCAGAGTCGACGGGGGAGCCTGCCTGCCGCGTGTGGACCCGCGGTAAGTTCGAACTAAGATAGTTCGACTTCAGCTACGTGAATAACGTAGCTGAAGTTGCGTATCGTAGTTCGAAGTGGGGGGGTTAGTGTGGACCAGCCCTTAGTCGGCTCACTGCTGTAGTTGAGAAACTGACTCAGCAGTACCGGGTATTCATTCACTCGTATGAGCATATCCTCTTTTCCTGATGCTTTGTGTATATAAGACTTTAGACACCATTACCACTAGCCTTGTCCTTAGTGAAAACTTGTTAGAGGACTTGTTACCTTTAAAAGTTAAACACAAGCCCTGGGTGCAATAACTTCCTCTTGCAGCATCTGTGCCTCTTGCAGCTCTTTCTCCACATAGCATTGGGAATGAGGGGAATGGAGTATTCAAACCTTGCACGACCTTCAGCCTTGACAAACCCAGAGAGTCAGCAAATAGTTCTACAGTGTTAATCAATCATTCACTGCCAGTGTTCTGGTACAGCTTCTGCATCAAGATACACATCCTGTAAGGAGCCCAATTTGTCAAACTTGGGTGTTCAAATCAGCCTTATAATAGGTGCATAAAAAGAAGGGCACCTGTAAGTGCCACAGTTCTGACAGCTGGGTTCATCGTGTTACTTGCACATTCGGAAAGGCACATTGCAGAGTAAATGCTAGCATTTCAATCACGTATGTTCAGAGTGAAAGCAAAGGAAATATTCTATAGACACATTTTCAGATTCTGTTTGTTCCACAGTCTTTGCCCATAACATTCCTTTCCCCTCCCCATCTCACTCCCTTTTAGGAGGTGGTGGAAATAAAGAAGTGATCAGATTATTAATAGTGTAATTATCGTAAGATGGGGCTCACCTTCTCTGGCTTCATACATATCAACTTGGAACCCTCTTCTTGCAAAGAAACAGACATTTAAAGCACCCACCTACAAGAGTGTTACAGAAATATGTTACAGTTATAGAACAATTTCCTTGCAGAGACTCTGAATGTGCTTTGCAATTATAAACATGCAGCATCACTGACAGCTTCTTATAGAGGGGACGGTGACAACCAACTGGTACACAGCTCAGCAGGAAATGGGGCATCTTGACCATGTACCCGAGAGACCTCTTCTCCTAGGAAAGGTGCCCTAGAATCCCTAACATGCATACAGGGTAGCTAGGACTCGGTGGTCAAAGTTCCCAACCAAAGATCCCTTCACACTAAGTTGCCCTGAAATTTAGGCCTTGTCTACACTCAGGCACACACCCCTGATTCAGCAAGCAGTGTAACTGCACCAGTGCTGACTTCTATATGTAGGCAAGGGCAAGCTGGAGTTTGCACCAATTGTCAAGCCCCTGTTTACCTAGCGTGAGAGAATTTAGGGGGTTTCTCTTGTAAACTGACTCCAGGGAACCTATGACTGGCTAACTTTGCCTAGATGCCCAAAGTGCTACAAAGGCAAATCTAGACCGTATATTGCCCATACACCATGCTTTTGACTGTTGCTGTGACCAAAGAACCTCTTAAGGCCAACTGGCAAAAGCATGCAGAGCGGTTACAGGAATTTCCTGCGGCTGCCATGTACATTCCTGTTCAAAGAATGATCTCAAGTGAGAGCCGGAGTCACATTGGTTATGAATAGCATCAAGAAATGTATGTGCAGATACTAGATAAGGAATCATATATTGATACTGAAAATATGTTCTTAAAGTCTGTATCAAGGTACTGGTCACAGCAAAGGTGAAAAACAGTTTCTCTGTCAGACAAGAGATGTTTCCGGCTATCAGTTTATATGTAGACGGAGTATTGTCTCATTCACTATGAGTCTTGTATCACCAGTCTGGACTGCATGCAAATGAAGGATTGAGGGGACCTCAAGAAGAGAAACTAACAGGAAGAGAAAAACAGCAGGTGTGGGGGAGAGAGAGCCCTGTCTAGAGCTGCACATCAGAGGTTTGCTCCACTATGTTTGTGAGGCAAAGACGACATGATGGCATCCTTCACTGAGAAAGTAAAAGGCCAGTGACTTTGCTTCATGAAAATGGGGGCTCAGCCAGACTTGGTTGGAAACGCTGGAGAGAACTTTGGGTGTGATAAGCTTTTTTAGACAAGAGAGTAACTCGTTAGTTACGTCTCATCTTTAAAAAGCGTGTTGTGATTTGGTTTATACATAACCCTTTGTTTCCAGTATTCTTACTCACTATCACTTGAGTCTCTAGTCTTTGATAATAAACGTAGTCTTGATTTCCACTACAAATATATCTCAGTGCCGGTGTGTTAAGCAAAGTGCTGGTCCTGAATTGAAGCTCACAAATTGGCATGTCCTGTTCCTTTGGGAACAGCAGGCCTGGTCATTCAATGAGTGTGCAGTGGATAAGGAGCTGGACACTGCCACGTATTCAGGGATTGGCGTGTGCCCGTCACTACCTGGACGGAGAGCAAGGCCTGCGGAGGCCTGGAAGGCTGTGCTGTGCTGCCAGAGGCTGGTGGTTTCAGGGCACTGAGCCCTGGCAGGCACAGACAAGACTGCTTCATGCGAAAGGCAGATGGTGGAGAGGTGCCTAACAACCTGGGAAGCGTCCACAGCTGCTGCCCTTGTTTTCTGCATATCCATCATCATTTTCCACAAGGTCTGCTACAAATCCATGCCAGAAGACAACCCGGACCCTTTGTTACAGGGCTCTGTTCCACTGACTTGGCTAGTCAAGGAGCAAAGATCCGGCAAACATGTCAAATCTGCCTTCATGCTACTGTCCCCCATGTACGTTATCCTACAGCATTTGATTTTAAGTTCAAGGAAAAGGGAGATCAACAGCAGGGAGGAGACATGAATTTCATTATTATTGTTATTTCTTTGTATTACTGTCATGTAGGGGCTCTAGTCCTGGACCAGGCCACCCACTGTGCTAGGTGCTGCACCAGTGCAGAACAAAGGCAGTCCCTGTCCCAAGATGTGCACAATGTGCCCAAGACGTGTATAAGACAAGAGACAACACATGGATACAGACAGATTGGGGGAGCTCAAGGAAACAACCGATGATACCATCTAACTAGACCGGAGAGACCCAGCCTGGGGGAAGGAATGCACCAGCAGAGTGACTTGTGTGATGGCACGAAATGCACATCAGTGCCACTATTCTTTGGCCGGGGGGAGGGGCGGGGGGAAATAGGAGGGGATCAGCTAACTGGAAAGACAAGGGAAGGGGAGTGAGGGGGACAGGGCGGGGGGGAGGGTCAGGGGTGGAGTGAAGGGGGAGGCTACGTGTGTGTGTGGGGGGGAGGTTTGCACACATGCAGAGGGCAGGGCACTGCAACTCAGATAGGATGGCCCACCACCCTGTTCCCTGCTCTCCCGAGGCTTCAGCAGCAACAGGATTGGCTGGGGCTGGAACCATCTGGTGATGATGCGAGAGGCTCCAGCTCTGTAGCAAATATGAGCCCTGCATGGGGGAAATACTTCCTCTGATTGGCCACCTGCCCCACTGCCCTGCCTCCTGGAGCAGAGCAACTAATCAGAGAGACTGTAGGAAGAGTTCTCTCTCCACCCAAAGCCATTCTTACAGGAGGGGAGGGGGGAAGCGAAGAGCCAGCAGCTCAGGGCAGCCCCACTTCCCTCCCCACCCTCCTGTGAGCAATGGGGATGGGATGTGTCTTCTGCTCCTCCCTCCATCCTCCTGCACACCACCTGGTAGGGGCAGAGGGGGGACAAAGAGTCCCTGGAGCTGCCCCCCATCGTCAGTCCTGAAGGGGGGAGAGGGGACTCTGCTGCAGTACAGGCTTGGGGGGGTGAAGAACCCCAGGAGGAGCACTGGGGGGGATGGGGGGCAGGATTAATTTCTGGGCAGGCAATGGATAGACATGGGGTGAGAGTTCCTGCAGAATCCCCCTGCCAATACGTTCATTATCACCCCCATTCCAGGGGTGGGCCAGGGGAGTTCAGCAATCCAGGCAGAAGGGTAAATGTTAGGCTGAAACATCTCTAACAGCTGCAAAGGGGTGGAGGTCTGTGTAAGGAAACAGTCGAGTCCCTGTTGTTTAAATGTTATTAGGCAATACTCCAAATCCTGCTGACACGATTCTGGGTTGTATTCGGTTGGAAGTTTGTTCCCTTTGCATGAGGCTGACCGGGTGCTGTGACTAACACTTACAGTCAGACAACAGTCCTGAGGTGTAACGCTGTGTAAAGCTTTCTGAGGAGCCAGAATGTGGCCTGTGCGGCCTCCTAGAGTTCAGCTGCGATGCAGAAAAGGGGCCTGTGATGGCAAAAGTTTATCCCCAGCACTTGTGAGGCAGACCAGGGACTGCCACATGTTGTACTGCCAGGTGTCAGCAACACACGTCCACCGAGTCCCAGGCAGGGAATTTCCTCTGGGAAAATGGCAGGGACACTGCGGCAAGTGTGGCTTTTCACACCCAATCCTGGCACTTGTCTCACCCTAGTGTGTTACTCGTTCACAAGCTCTTTCTGCCTAAAAGATGTTCAACAGCCTCTCACTTAGCTCCCCCGTAGAAAGGTGCGACCCAGCAAACACAGCAGTGCATGTGGTGCAAAGTCCTGTCTGCACAAACACGCTAGGCACTGCCCCCAGCAGTAGCTCCACTGAACCCATTCTAGCTTCCAGGCTTCTTCGAAAAGAGCCGGTGCCTTAATGAAGGCAGAGGGCTAAAAAGTAGCAGTGAGGTTTAAACTCACCAGCTGAGGGGTTATTCCCTTGGTTTACAAAGCACAGACAAGCAAATCCTGTAGAAAGCAGGCAAAAGAGCTGGTTGCATTTCAAACGCTTGCAGCTATCACTAGCAGCTATTCCCAACAATCACACCTCACCCAGGGGCAGCTGCCTTGATCAGAGGAGCCCAGTTTTATCAGTGGTAGCTGCAGCCTGCCCAATGATTGTCACTCTGAAAGCTGGGCCTGAACTGACCAGTTACACAACCCAAACACCAATCACTTTGCTACAGCTCTTCACATTTCCAGGTCTTGCTAAGAATGACTTGCCCGGCAGTCTGTTCTCATCCCATGCCACAGTCCTGGATCCCTTCTGAGCAAACACAATCAAACCACAACAGAGATAAGGGTGAGTTTCTTACCAGACCACCTCCAACAATGGCTACTTTCCCCTTCTGAATGTCAGTGGAATTCATGATTGCAACAATCTCACTACAGCATGGTTTTTGCAGTCTTCTGTCCCCTGAGAGACTAGTGACGCTGCTCACCCTGTTACACAAATGTGCTGCATTTGCCAGAGAGCAAAGAGAGGGGAGGGGGAAGTAGGCAGTCTAGTCATGCTCTGATTCACCTTCCTTGGTTAATATTCAGGTTTTACTCCAACCTCAAACTCATAATTGGATCAGCTCTGACCATGTGACAAGGCCAGATCCAGCCAGAGGCCCCAGCTCTGCTCAGGTACCTGGGTGGGGAGAGGATGTTATTTACAGTGGTGGGTTGCAAACACAAAGGTATCTTTGAAATTTCCAAGAGTCTATTGTGTGACTGCTGTGCTGCATATGTAATCCACACCCCTTCTGGGTGTGGTGTTCTGGCCTATCTAGTCAGGGCCGGCTTTAGGCCAATTCCACCAATTCCCCCGAATCGGGCCCCGCGCCTAAGAGGGCCCCGCGCCCAGTGGCAGGGCTATGGGGGTGGGGGCAAGTGGCCGAGAATCCCTTCCCTGGCTCGAGGCTCCTTTTTAATTTTTACTCACCCGGCGACGCTCCAGGTCTTTGGCGGCACTTCGGCGGCGGGTCCTTCACTCACTCCGGGTCTTCGGCAGCAGGTCCTTCAGTGCCGCCGAAGACCCGGAGCGAGTGAAGGACCCACCGCCGAAGACTAGGAGCGCCGCCCGGTGAGTACAAGCCCCACGTGTTTTTTTACGTGTTTTTTTTTTTTTTTTT